TTATCAATCAGAAGACAATCATGTTAATTAAAATATGGACTGTTTTTTAAATTTTTTTATAAATAGAGAATTATATATATTACTGTCAAAGTTGTGCATCAGCAAATGCGAAAAGTTTACCATTTACGTAGTTAAGAACGAAGAAAGTATATTAGTATAAATAATTTTTTTTAAACGTAATATGTCATTTGGAGCCTCATTTATACTAAAATGATATCAAATAAAAAGTGCATTAAATTGTAGTGTTAATGAATATCTTCTTTGTACTTTTAGGCAGTACAGGGGTGAAAATAACAAATTTGATTGCCATAGTCATTTCAAATGTGCCCCAATCCAAAGTAAAGAATTCATTTTTAAATTAACTAAATCTATTGAAATGTATTTGTAGGTGTCAAAGTGAATTAGGGATACTCATGAGAGCAGCTGGTGCCAATATTCACCGAGGAGAGATGCTAGATTCGGCAAGCAGTTCTGCATGTACGAAGGAAATATTGAGTTTCAGTTGATGAAGATTTTTAGACCCAATTTTATTTAAAAATTAAAATCTCATGATTATTATCATTTTTTGAAAAATCAATTATTTTTGTATGTAGATCTAAAGTAACAAAAGAAAATTAAGGCTATGTTTGGCAGGCATAAGTCTCTGCCTTCTGGCTTTTGTACTGTTCAAAAAGTCTCTAAAAGCTTCTAGTTATGTGTTTGGCGTGACAATTTTTAAGAGCTTTTCAAAAATTAAAAGATCTTTTTTGAGATGCTACAGAGAGTAGCATTTGAAAAAGCCTGTGACTTTTAGTATTAATTAGTTCTAACAGCTTGTATACCAAATCGAACTAAATCAAACAGTCGACTTTTTACCAAACAGCTACCACCTTTTCTTTTTAAGATCTTTTAAGTCACTAAAAGCTAACAGTTATTAAAAAGTCCGCAAAAGTATCTTTTCAGCTAGTTGTGCCAAACACACCCTAAACTCCAAATGTATTGATTTTTATATCTGAATTTGACTTTTTGAGTCACAGTTGCTGACAAAAAATTGGCAAAAGTCACGTATAAATGATAAAAGTAAGGCTATACTTAAAAAACATTCACTGAGTGAATATATTGGCAGTGCCAAATCACAGAAAAAAATTGAATTGACTGAATGAATATTTATAAATTGGTGGGACATTTAATTTATTGACAGTGAGGGTTGCGGTTAGCCTTAAATATTACTATTGGAGTGTATCATTTTGGGCTGGGTTGGAATGATTAATTTAGTTAATTTTTATGAGATTAAAATAAATAGATATTATAGATAAATGTTGGATTCGTTTGAAATTACTGGAGATCTTCTCCTACCAACTTCAAGAGATCCAATCAAAATTATCGTTGAGAGTGTTTATCTACAATTATTGTTAAGAGAGGGCTATTTCAGCACTAACATGATTTCTCTTAATAAATCACAAGTGTAGAACTTATTTGAGTTCAAGCACTATATGCAAGTCAGATTTTAATGTTGATTTACTTGCGTATTTGCATACTTCAAAATTTTGAATAAGATTCCTCTTTCAGGTGTAGCCAATCATGAGCTCATACTAAAAGTAGGTACCCTTTGTGGTGCTGCTTCTATGAAACATAGACCATTCAATATGATTATTTAATGATACGTGACTCATAATTAGGCTAGATGAACATGTTTTAGAAGCCAATGTTATCGCTGGCAGGAGCATGGGTGAATGTGTTACGTTCTCATTTAAAGGTTATCACTAACGTTTTCAGATGTGTGACTTTATTTCAAATTTAAGATTGAGACAATATTATCCAGTAATGGTCGCTTATGCAATGACTATTAAGAAAGGTTAGGGTTAATGTCTCTTATGTAAGGTTGTTGTTAAAGAAGTTAGATTTCTCTCCACGTACAGTCGGCTCTACAATGTGATTTCATCTAGAGGTACAAATAAAAAAAGGCTGAAAATTTTAATGATAGATAGTGACAATTAAAGCACAACAAAAACCATCAATGTTATCTACAAAAAAACTTTTCAAAATTTGTAAAACTCATGTTAAATTTTGTTGTAGTAATTCTTTACAAGATGTACGTACTATTTAATTGATCTCCTTGAATTGAAATAAAAAAAAAACACTTTTTGTTGCATATTGTTACTTCCTTGAGTAGATTGTATGGAATTTGTCTGTCTGTGCATCGCACGGGTGAGCTACTAGTTTTAATTTAATGTAACATTGAATGTATAAAATGTTTTATAATTGTTTGAATTACATAGTACTTCGTATAATCTATCTCTATATAAAAAAGAGGTGGATTTTCTGGCGGGTTTCCCACCCAAAATTAATGCCAAAGTTAATTCTGCAGATATGACTTCTGTATGAAGCTCTTCTCTAGAGATGTGTTTTACTCTGTAGTACTTCGTATTTCGATGTGACAATACTCAGTTTACCATAACAACTGGTAAACTGAGTAAAGTTTGTGTGGTTCTAAATCATTCCTACTTTATATTTTACCATTTCGGTCCGTCCTACTAAGATTGTCCCATACCTTATTTGGTAAAGTTTGTGTGGTTCTAAATTATTCCTACTTTATGTGTGAAAATATTGAATTGTGTGGCAGATGATAAACAAATCAATCACAGTGTTTCAAAACATAATTTTCACTTATTTTGAGTTCTACACTATCTTTTTTTATAATAACTTTTTATTACGGGTATATATTAATTCTGTACTTTTTTTTATTCATTTTACTAATATATTATAAATTTTAATAATAATTTAACTAATAATAATTTCTTTGAAATAAATTATTACTCCCTCCGTCCCGCTATTAACTTTCTACTTTCCTTTCTAGGCCGTCCCAAAATAATCTTCTCATTTCCCTAAATGGAAAGTTATCCTACATCAAAACAGTGTCAAACAGTGCCAAACAGTGTCTAAACCGTGCCAAACAGCGTCTAAACAGTGCCAAACAGTGTCTAAACAGTAAAGTCAAATTTATTTCCTAAATATGTGTGTAGGTCAAAGTAGGAACTTAATAGAGGGACGGAAGGAATATTTAATTTTGAGAATCTAGTCTAAAATCAGATTTAGTTCTAAACTAATTTAACATGCATAAGTTATAATTCTAATGTAATTAACGTAGAAAGAGATCCAATGGTAGTTCTAAATTAATATATTATGAATTCAAATCTAAATGAAATTCTAATGTAACGTACGTATAACGTATATAGTAGATTTAATATACATGAAATTCAATCGGAAACAGAATCTCGAATAATATAATGAATGTTTGCATGCCACATGATAAAACTTTTCAGAATTATATCTTTGAAATGTGAAGTATTATTTATACATTTTTTATATTCAATATTGGTGTCATTTGAAAGACAATAAAAAGTTATGAATTTTAATATACTTTTTATAACAATTAGAGTACAAATAAAAAAGTTATAACACTTTAAAAAAACATGAGATTTTATTTTTGTGGGATTCCTAAATAATAGAAGTTGTATTTTAGTTGAGCAGTATTTCTATATGAAATACGGCCGTGCATAGCTAACTTTGATATAAATTCTTTTTTTTAATTTAAAAAGTGATATTATATATAGATTAATTATAGAGAATTAGAGATGACATGTGACAATACTTTCCACAATTGTAACCTTCAAATGTATTATCTATAGATAGATAGATGTGCATTCAGTTTTGGCCAATTAGTTGGCTAAAACCCTAATTTGTCAATAATAGGTAGCATAATACGGAGTATTAGGACCCGTTTGGTAGTCTCTTTTCAGGCTTATAAGCCAACTTTTTTACCAAACACGTACATTTTGGTTTTACAGGTTGAATTGTGTAATAATAAGAAAAAGTAAGACCGAAGTTACTTTTATGGCTGTTTGGCTGAAGTTACTGTAGAAGGTCATTTTAGCTATTTTTTCATATAATTTTTTCTTTATTTTATTAATAAAATGTATTTTAAATTATTATTTTTCACAAATCAGCAGAATCAGCCTATACAGCCACATCAGCCATAACTTCATAAATTTCAGTCAATACAGTCGGTTTGGTTATTACCAAACGGGCTCTTATTTTGCTTAGAAATGGGCCATTTAGAAAATGGGCAGAAGTTGATACTGTTTCTGTTTTCTTTCTTTAAGTATTATTTACATGGATTCTTCATCTACATAAAGAAAGAGTAAAGCATGTAATGTTTTTTATAATAAAAACGACTCTTTTTTAAAGGAATTTAAAATACTTTTTTGTACCCACATTCTTCCCTATGGTCCATTAGATGGGATAGTAAGTTAAGAATATTCTAAATTTATCTTCTTCTAAGCGTCTAGATAAGTGAATGCAATCAAATCGAACTGAAATCGAATCATATGCAATTTGATTTGAGCTCGGCAGCATTTTTTCAGAATGTATTAAACCGAATCGAAATCGATAAAAATCAATAAATATCGAACTAAATAAATTCAAAAAATCTTCATATGTTATTAAAAAATAACAAATCCCAACGGAACCAAATCAAACCAAATCGAAAGATAACACAAAGTAATCTTCATTTTTTGTTTGATAATCATTCTTCCAATCCGTTTCAAATCAAATTGAAAGTCAATAAAAACCGAACCGAAACCGACATGCCCACCCCTATTTCTAATTATTCTAAAGATTGTTAAAATAAAAATTACATCCTCTTAAAAGTAAAAATGTTACTTAATTTTCAAGTTAAATTTCAACTTTTAATTGACCTATGGGGTTTTTACAAAAATATTACTAAAATAAAACTTATTTACACAAATGTGACTAATAGTTACTACAATGTAGTGCCATGGTAAATTAAGTTTTAAATTTAATATATATTTACTATGATTTCATCACTACTTTAGCCACTAATCACATTTTTTTAAATAATCTTTATTTTAGTCATAAATATATAATCATTTCTTATCTATTTTAACACAATTGGCCATCAAATTCTCCTTCAAAAAATTCCATTTTCTACGGAGTATTTGTTTAAATTTGAAAATTTTCACATGAACACTATAAATCAAATTATCCCGAGCTACATAGTTGAGAGTATCTGATAGGCTCATCATACTTGATATATGAAGATAAGTGCAAATAAGGATTGGAAAATTCTGCAGGTTAATGGACACTGCTGCTTGAATGCTTTCCTGCAAAGGAAGCATCAATACTTGCAGAATCTGCACTCTAATAAACAGAAGAATATAGCCACAAACCTCCATTAAAAAACTGAAAACTACAGGTCTATCCCACTGAAAAAAGTTGGGAATTTTTAAATATAGCAACAGCCATGTTACTCCATGTTAGATCTCACTTGAGCTATAGAAGAAGCAGATTCCAATACAGGAAGCTTTTCTTTGAAGTTCTTTAAACCTTGACTTTGCTTGGATTAGAATAGAAGTAATCTATCTGGTAAAAATCCAGCTTTCTTATTCTATTCATTCTTTCCAAAACAAAATCATCTTACCAAACACTGAATAAGGCTTCCCACCTAAGTGACAGACATTCCACTCCTCCTGCAACCAACACATTATCCAAAAACATCCCTGTTTCTCATACATCCCTAAGTGAAAAAACATAACAGAAGTGAAATTCTCATGTGGGAAACCATGGGAGCGAAATCGGATTTAGCACAAAAGCTATTGCAAGACCTGCGGCTAAGGAAGGAGAGACTGTCATCTTCTCAGAATTCATCACAATCACAATCAAGAGGTAAATGAGCAGCCGGGATAGAGTATCAACTGTAAAAGTATGATGATATTTTGCATTTATTCATGAACTTTGCATATCCACTTGGCATCTGGATGTGGTTGTGTTTTAATTTCTAATTGGTGTACTCAAATGCTTCATATTATGAAAGTGTGATGTGTTTCATCTGTTCATCTTTGTCGTGTGAAACAAACAGGGAAATATGCAAATGCTGGACAATCCCACAGAGGTTCTCAGACATCTTCGGCACAGATTGTTCCTTATTCTGGAGCTCAAAGGGTTCAAAGTTCAGGAAAGAAAGATCTTTCCATGGGAATCACAGTTTCCATTGAAAAGCGAGACAGTTTTGCCAAACTGAACTCTTCATGCAATAATAATGCAGTGTATGGAGTTGTCCATCAATTTGGGCAGAGATCATTTGACTTTATGGGGAAAATGGAAAGTAGCCAGTATGTAACCCTCTCAAATGTTCAAGTTAGTGAAATATCAAAAGGGATACAAAAGATAAACAAGATCCTCAAAACCAGCTATTCAAATGGTGGCCATGTAAACTTTGACACATACTCTTTTGAAGTAGTAGGGAAGGAACTCTTAAAAGGAGCCATGGATTTGGAGTCATCCCTGAGAATGCTTGTTGACCTGCAGGAAGCATCCTCCAAACACATAATCACCTCTCAAAGGAAAAACCGGCAGATAACATTACTTGATGAAGAAGACGAAACTAATAATGTGAAAACAGCTGTTCAGAAGCATCAAGACCTTCCGAAGTTTTCATTCGATAATAAGCCATCCAGAAAATCATATACCAAGAAAGAGACCACAGGTAGTGCACAGAAACTGCTGGCCTTAACATATTTTAAGGATGCTTCTGCAAATCTGGAGCGCGAAACTTTATCAACACATGGAACAGAAAAGGGGAGAATATCAAATGTCATTGCGAAACTCATGGGACTGGATGAGTTTCCCCGAAATAAAGTTCTGAAGGCCTCAAGACACTCAGCCTCCAAGAAGAATGATAAGCCACCTCATCATAACAGTGATCAGAAAGCTGCTGTCAACTCGTCACCAGAATTGACCAAGCACAGGAGGAATAATAATATACATCACAGAGATAACAAAATAGCAGAAAATGAGGCTATCACAGTGAAGCGAAAACTGGAGATTCACAAGCCAACGCCAAGTCATATGGAGGGCAGACTTCCCCAAACTGTAAGGAATAATAATAGTACTAATTTAAAAAGTGTTCCAAAGAGGGAGGGGCCTTTACTGAACCGGGCCAAACATGCTAAACATAGAGCAGAAGAGAAGCCTATCAAGGAGATAGCCATTAAGAAGAAAGAAAGTCGGATTCAAACCCACATCAAAGACACACTCAAAAACACATTGAAACAACAATCACCAATACTGAAGGTGAAGAAACAGGTGAAATGCCATGTGGATAGCACCTCTGGTGTAAAAGGCAAATTGAGTGAAGAACATCCAATTGAATTGAAAGAAGAAAACACCTCTGAGTTTGACAAAGAAGAAGCTGTACAAGAAATAGTGCATTGTGAATCAAAAGTTTTGGCATTACATGTTCATACTGAAGATGTAGGTTTAGTTTTCATACATTTTCAATTTCATTAATAAATTATACTCCTTATAACATTTAGCATTGTGCTAATCAATATGAGATTGAGGTTTTATTTTTTTACTTTCTCTGGTAGCAGAAAGATGCAATGGAATTACACAGGAGTAGTCACCAGGATGCAGGGCAAAATCCAGACATCAGTTATCAAAAAAATTTGCAAAATCACCAAGAAGGTAAGTTTACATGAAAAGTGTCTATGTGAAACATGAAGCTTATTTGTACCAAGTGAAAATGGGGTGTGAAAGAACATGACCCTTAATTTATGTGATGCTGCAGGAGATCAAGAACTTTTCCAAGATCAAGTTACTAAAACTGTGCCTATCATAATTTCAGGTTCTTATGCATTTGTCTTTAAAAGAAAGTACAAAAATGCCCCCTTTGTTCTTATTTAACTGTCTATTTTTAAATTTGTTACTTTGGCGGTCCTACTTGTCTGTCCATTTAGAACCATGGAGCATTAACAACATTTTCTCTTGTGTACCATTAAGATAAGAAAACTAATACATTGGAAAACACAATTAATTAAAAATTAGCAAATCTTTTATAAGGGTAAATTTAGTAAGAAGATATACGATAGTATATTGGCAGCATTCATTGTTGGGTTGGGTCACTCAACTAGGTCATAATGCACATGACTAGATGAGCCAAACTCCACTAAAATACGAAGTACCAAATATGGAAACACTGATAAACTCATACAAATGTGTGACTTCTATCAGTTCAAAGTGAGACTCATAGTCATAGCAATGGCATCCTAGAGACAGGAGGGTGGCTAATTATCTCTCTGAATGTTACAGAAAACCCACCAGCTAAATCAGAAACCTGCAGTTCAAATCCCAAACAACAGAAAGAGCCATTGACTGAGCCAGAAAAGAATCTCAAGGAATCACTTATCAAAAGCCACTTATTCCTTAGCACAGCAGAAGCCCTCCTCAATCTGAACTTACCAGTCAGTGTGTTTTATGCAAATGACCATATCAATGAAGGGGCAGAGCGTTTGCTTACAGTAGACTGTGCCTATGAGGTAATGAAAAGAAAAGCAAGGAGGCAAGAACTCTCTGCCTATCCCCACGCCAGAAAACCCATCACCGGTTTCATAAAGATTAGATCTTTAGATGATCTGATCAAGCAACTGTGCAAGGACTTTGAGAAGTTGACCAGCTTTGACCGGAGTGGCAGTGAAGAAGATTGTGAGTCAACGCAGTACTTTGATCCTATGCTTGCGAAAGACATGGAAAACACAGAGCCTGACATAAATTGTATGTGGGACCTTGGATGGGACGGTGGGGCCATGTTTGCCTTCCTAGAAAAGGGTGAGGTGGCAAAGGATGTTGAGAAGCATTTGATGAAGGGACTCATTGAAGAGGTCACTGCAGATTTATTTTAACACAGTGACGCGGGAAGAAATGGCCCCCGGGTTCAACATTTTTGCAACCTAACAGCTCTACAATGAGCAAATACCTATGTTAAGGATGAATTAGTCCGACTGGGATGTTGTGAATGCGTCAATTGTTTTAATTTGCTTGATTTATTCAATTCCATTCCATTGATATAATATTTGATTTGCATTTACTTGTGCGCAAAAGCAGTGTGACTCTTTTTGTCTTCTAAAATTTATGGAATTTACAAAATCGAGATCACACAAAAATGTTTGGGACCCTTCTATTGGACTAGTTTTAACGCGCCATGCGCGTTTGCTAAAATGCCCAAGCATACATTTGATTCATGGCAACTTATTTCTTTCTCATGTGTAAAAAAAGTTCTTGAGATTAATAAACCAGTTCCGTTTTTTTTTTATAATTGTCTGAAATAGGAGTAAAACATAAGCATATTCACTAAATAAGAGCCCATGCATGATTTATATATTTTTAATATGATTAAACGTTATCTTTCTAACCTTAATATAATAATTGCTTCTCTAGTTCTCCAAACAAACTCAGGGCAATCTGGGAGTGGTGAGAACATTTCGGCGACAGAATCCCAACGATTGGCGTTGGCAGCGGAATCCGGTGATTGGCGGCCACGATTGCGGTAGAGTTCTATCGGCAGCCGCAATCTAGTGGCTAGCTACAACCCCTGCAGGGTATATTTTTCCAATCACAAAAAAACTCTTATTTAGAAAATTGTATATATCAACTCCTATTTTTACATTTCTTAGATGTTTTATTCTTATTGTGGGAAATATTATTTTTCTTCATTTTGAAATAAATTATGATGTAAGTATATTGTTTTCGGTAGGGGTGGGCAAAACGGTTTGGTTTAACCGAACCAAAAATGGGTTTACTTAAGTAAACTGTTTGGTAAGAATTTGCTCAAACCGAATGGTTTGGTTTGATTTGGTTTAAAACCGAAAAACCGTAAACCGAACTGAACACCGAACAACTTACACACACACACTATGTATTTATCTTCACTCTTCATTTTTTAGATATAAATAAATAATTTAGACATGAAAAATACTTATTTAACATATACCAATTTAACTTCTACACATTTCATACATTCATTATGACTAAGTTAGCTAATACGACATATTTGTTTTTGTTAAGCTTAAAACCGAAAAACCATAAACCGAACCGAACACTAAACAACTCTCTCTCTCTCACACACACACACACACACACATACACACATTGTATTTATCTTCACTCTTCGTTTTTAAGATATAAATAGATAACTTAGACATGAAAAATATATACTTAATTATTTAACATATATCAATTTAACTTTTACACATTTCATACATTCATTATGACAAAGTTAGCTAATACGATATATTTGTATTTGTTAAGTTTGGCGATAACAATAACAGATTGCATTTATATTTTTTACATGATTCGTTTAAATAAAATTGTGAATATTACAACCAGGGGCGTAGCCAGGACACTGGGCTAGACTGGGCCGGTACAAAGAATATTATTGGAAAAAAAATTACACGAAATTTTTTACACTAAAAATATTGACATTTTTCAAATTTGGGGTGGGCCAGGGCCTAGCCTGGGCACCCCCTAGCTCCGCCCCTGATTACAACATTTGTACCACCGTCTCCTTTAGTATTTTGAATATTCTATGTGATGCTCCAGATTATAAATGTGAGAAGTGAATCTTTTTCCGGTGATCGAAAAGATGTTAAAAGTTTTAATTTATAATATTTTATTATTTCTTTTTTTCCATCGTTGATTTCCTTCTACATTTTACTTAAATAATCGATAAAAGAAGATGAGATGGACTACTACTTTCATTTTCTAATTCTAAAATATAAGAATTTAATAAAATAAAATTATAATAAACATAAGAAATCGAATCAAATTGAACAAAATTAAATCTAATACTTTTCACTAATACGGAATATTATTTAATAGGTACATGAATGTTTACATGATGTACAATAACTTTGTGCAAGAAGAGACACTAACATTTTTTTATCACTATTATACCCTTGACAATATTCACTAGCTCTTATAATGTTGTAGAGATATTCATTATCAGTTTACGACCCGAACTGATGCGAGCACTAATAAAAATACGGAGTAGTTATCTAAGGAGTAAGTCATATCTTCCCTTTATTTGAGTCTTAGAGGCGTGTATTGTATTAACAATTAGTCACGAAATTTTAAAAGTGCATGAATTTTAAAAGTTTAAGTGTATTCAATGTGTAGTTTTAAAAGTCTACAAAAGACTTTTGATACTTTTAAAAGTCTACAAAATACTTTTAATAGTATTCCGACTATTATGTGACGTATACTTTTGATATTTGACTTTGATTTTTTCTCACTTTTAATTTTTGACTATTGTACGAAAGACACTTTTGATGTTCGTCTTTGAAAATTTCCACATTTAATCTCTCGATATTCATAAAGTGACACCGTTGGTTCCTCAACTATTATAATAGTGACATTTTTAATTCTTCACTTATTGTGTCACAATAATAGTGGAAAGATTAGAAGTGTCAACTTGTTAATACTCAAAGGACTAAATGTGAAATAGTTTGAAGTCGAAGATCAGAAGTGTCTCTTGCACAATAGTCAAGGACTAAAAATCAAAAAAGTAAAAGTCAAGTAGCAAAAGTGTCACTGACACCATAGTCGGGAATTAAAAGTGGTAAAAACTCGATCTTGTGCAAAGAAAAAATGCCCAATATGATTCAATTGCGATAATATTAAGATATTTTGTTGATACTTTTCAAGGTTAACATAAAATATTTGTTTTTGTTCAATAAAAGAATGTGTAGTTTATTTCGTTTGATAATAGTAATGAAAGTTCATATGTGCACTAAAGTGAACTAGTGAACTGCACTCTATTGAAAATACTCAGATTCAATCTTCTTTTAGTATATGGGCTCAAACAATTTCACTATATATAAAGATCGAAGTAAAGACTAAAAAACCAACCCTTGAATGTTCAAAACCAAATCCACTTATTTGCATCACGCGTTGAGTAACATCTATACTTGAAACGGGTAGTCATGTTGATTGCTTTAGTATCGTGATCTTGTTTGGTTTCAAAAAAATGTGTCACAACAATCCATCACATATCAAAGAAGTACATAAAATTAAATTTAAATTGATCGTAAACATTGAGCAAGAGAAGTCTTAAATGCAGCATGAAGAACATAAAAATGGGGGAAAAGAAGAATGCATAGTAGTGATAGATGAATACCAACACCATCCACATAGGCGTACACGTGGCTAGTACAAGAATACATGGTGCATGATCGAGTAAGGCGTAGAAATGAATATCAATTGACCAATAATGCATATGTTCAATATAAGATGTTGTAAAGATCCATAATTGTGTCGTCCACCATTAAATTATATATGGCTTATTAGTGTTTTATAAAACAATAAAGTTACTGAAGTTCCAATAGGCCTTTTCATATAGGGCCCGGGAGGTCCTTTTGGGTACATATTGGATTTGTAAAATGCTAGGGATTAAAATATGGAGGGTATATAGTGTATATTTGAATGCTATTTTTGAATATATATATATAGTGTACTTAGTTTGAAAGGTCTTTTCCGAATTTTTTTACGGGTTGTACACCTTTGTCTACAACTCTAAATAGTATAAGAGCCTGAGAGGCAGCAGATAGATGTTTGGTATGTTTATAGAGTTTATAGAGTTTCCATTCACTTACGGTATGTTTGAGAGTTTGAAGAGAAGGGCAGGGGAAGGTTTTGAAGGTTAATCATTGGAAGGGAAGAGGAGGAAAATGGTTGGAAACCCTTCTTTTTGTTTGGGAGTATCAAATTTGAAAAGAAAAGGTTTTGGATGAATTATAATTAAAATCACCTCACATATATGACAGATTCAAATAATTTGAGTTTATATTTATTTAAAATTGAGCTAACGTTGTCATTTAATTAGTTATCCTTCACAATCCTCCAATTGGGGGAACTTAAAAATTGAGCATTTGAAGGATTTTGAAGGGTTACAAAACCCTTCCAAAACCATGTCTTCCAAATTTTTGAAGTCCCAAACATTAAAGGGAGAGTCATAAACCCTTGTCAACCATCCTCTCCCCTCCAAAACCCAACTCCCAAACATACCCTTAAATTTAGGGTTGGTTTGCAACTCCTTTTAAAAAAGCACTTTTCAGCTTTTGGCTTTAAAAAAGTACTTATTTTCCCAAACACTACAACTTTTATTTTTCTCGGCTTCCGCGTCAAAAGTGCTTTTACTTTTTCTATTACACAAAAAGCACTTATTTTACCAAACACCACTCACTTTTACTTTTCAAAATCACTTTTTTCTCAAACACTATCAACTTTTATTTAATCACTTCTCCTCATTTCATTAAAAAAAGCACTTTTTTAAAAGCAGAAGTTGTTGCAAACAGACCCTTAGAGGAATCCTTTCAAAAATAGCTTCTCAGATCCCAATATGTGTACTTGAATGTTTTCCATTATTATATTAACAGAATGCATTGTAATAATGATTTCATGAAGGATAAATACATGGATACAAATAATGAAATAAAATAAAATTGATTGAATCGATTGAATTGGCTAAATCTGCTAAAATTGATAAATATCTAACTGAATTGGTTGAATTATGAAAAATTATATTTAAAACATACAAAGTATTACTCCGTATATCAATAATAATAAAAAATTATATAAAATAGATAAAATCATTTTTACAATAACATTAGTCAAACTAATCAGAAAAGTAATTTCAATCTTATTTATTACGGAGTATTAAAATTAGGAAATTTACTTTGATTATTCGACAATTCAGTGTGTGACATCAAAATTTACGCATTCGTTCCAAAATTGTATAATAAAATTGATAAAGTTAAAATTATGGGTTACTAAACGGGTTGTTTCATGTAATAATAATCTATTGAGTTTATATTTGTAATAACTCGCATCCATATTTTATAGGAGAACCGACGATTACTCAGAAACAAATAAAATTGTACTTTGTATGAAAACTTAAAATACAATTAAATAATACATGAGTGTTAAACCATCACATTTTACGTACCCTAAATATCTCCAGCAGTCCAGCCCTAATTAGGGATGACAATTCAACCCGACCCGATGGATACCCGCACCGAACCGAATCGATCAAAATGGGAAAACCGCTTTGACTGGGTAACGGTTACCTGAACAATTACCCGACCCGCACAATAAGCTTATATTCCCTCCGTCCCAATATAAAAGACACATTTTCCTTTTTGGGCTATCCTAATATAAAAGGCACATTTCCCTTTTTGGCAAACAAAACAGTGTCAAACAGTGTCTAAACAGTGTCCAAACAGTGCCAAACAG